ACATTTTCTTAAAATTTCTTGAATACACACGCCATCAGATGTAATACACATTTAAAATAACAAATGAGGCATCTGTTTCAAAAACAAGTATCCTCTATAATAACAAATGCATCTTTAATTGTATAATAACGTATTTTTATGATGACCATAATAACATATACCTCTTTAATCGTATAATAAAATATTTTTATAATAACGTTTGAAGTAATGAAAATGTTGGATTAAAAATAAAACCATTTATTCTTTAGAAATATATTTACTTTTGTATACATACACAGGCACATAACTTTGATAATTTTTTTTTTCTCCCCTTTTTTTTTTTTCTCCTTTTTTAATGAAAGTGGAGTATTTTTGTATATCGGCAAAATATATCATTTTAGTCACTGTACAGTTTAAAAAAAAAAAAAAACCCTGTATCTTGTCATTAACCAAATATTTAAAGTAAGAGAGGAATTAGAGAATTAGCTGTCTAAACATTTTAGATTTGTTTTTAGTTTTATACCATCAAAACGCCTTATATATTTGCAAACAACCTTCAACTGAATTGTTCTATTAGGTTCATAAGCCTTGACAAATGAAACTCAGAAGATTTTCTATCATATTAAACTGATAGTTTTCTAGAATTTCTCAGTGTCACACTCTATGCTATTCAATGTTTAAACTGATGAATTAATGGTGGATTAATAAAAAAAATATAAATGATATTAAAACTTTTTTAATTCAACAAGCATGACAAAAATGATATCAGAAAGAACAATACAAATGCAGAAGGATGTATATTTGTTTTATAGATTATGCAAAAGTATTTGATAAAGTGTCACAATGGATGATTTGAAGCAAAATATTAAGAAATAGGAAAGTTTCATTAGAAACAGAGGCAAAAATACTAAACTTTTATATAAGTCCTATATGGCAGTGAATGAAAGATGAAAAGATTTGAGACAACAGATATGGTTGTACAGAAGGATGCTGAGAATACCATGGATTGAACATGTGGGCAATGACGAAGTTTTAGAGAAAATGGAATCAAAAAGGAAATTTGTATTTAGCATTAGAAAGAAAAAGTTGAAATTTCTAGGGCATGTAATGGGGAAAGAGGGCTTGGAAAATTTGATGCTTACAAAGCATATTTAAGGCTAAGGACAAAAGAAACAAAAAAAAAGCAGTGTAAAATTTACAGAATCAATTGTGATTAAATAGCAAAAACACAATTTTAAGAGCATAAAGAACAGGAAATTGTTAGAAGAAGGGAGACAAACACATAAAAGAACTAAGAAAAGCTATAAAAGGACAGAAAATTATGGAGAGATTTATAAAAATGATATAAAAAGAAAAAACATTCTGAAGGGAGACAGGATCATAAAAAAAAAATTAGGGACAAGACAGAGGAAAAATTAGTAAAAGGCATTGTTGTCTAAGAAGAGACATTGAAATCATGTATAGAGGGAAAAGGGTGTTTATTAACTTTGAAATAAAATCAAGATAATAGATATAAAGCAAAACTTGAATATCATGGGGCATCCCCCTGACTTTTGTCCATTCATGATAAATGGTTGTACTCTCAATAAGGCTCCTTGCCTGGAATATCTACTGGGACTCAAGTGAAAATTGTATATATGATCCACCACTAAAAATGCTGTAAAAAAAGATTGGCTTCCTGTACCGCTCCAGAAAGTACTTGGCTCCTCCTGACATGCTCTCTCTCATTACAAGAGCCAAATCAAAACAAAAAATTTAGTATTGCTGCCAAGCTGCCCAATCATCACTTTAAAGCCTTGACAGCATTCTAAATGGCTTATACAACACAGTGGGTTATTTACATGTCACCATATTTATCACATTTCGGCCTTCTTCAGGTGGTTGGAATGTCGAACTGAACCCTTTATTTCGCTCACTGGGGGAGACTGTTCTAGTTCCATGTTTGATGGTAGTTGGTTATCTCCTGTTAATTTCCCTCTGAAAGTTCTCCATTGAACTCACACTCTTTGGGTCCTGTCACTGGATCTAACCAACACCTTTATCCACTGTGCCATGTGTCCTTGAGGACATCTGGGTATGAATTTCTGGGTATTATAAACCTAATGTCTTCAGCAACCATTTTACCATTTTGCCCATATTGCAATGTTTTTTGTTATCATTGCTTTTGTTCTGGCACTCCTTATTACTGGTTCCCATATTGTATTCATTTCTATGCTTGGTCGGCTCAGGAGATTTTTGTGGCCTAGCATATGTGCTGATTCCTTAAGTTTACAAATTTTCCAATGGTGTTCCTTGTCTATGATCTCGGCATGATCCCACAGAGGGCAGTGATCTCCCTTCTCTCTCCATATGTGGTCAGCCACACCTGATTTTTCTACTTCCCCTTGTGTTACAGCTTTCTGGTGTTCTTGAAGCCCTCCCTTGAGGGGGCGGCCTGTCTCTCCTTTATATTCCTTTCCGCAGCTGCACAGGATAGCGTACACACAGTCTTTAGTCATGTTCTCCTTTAGGGGGGGGGTCTTACTCATGAGAGATGTCTGCGAATTGTTGTCAAGCTTTTGAAGGTTGCCCTGATGTTATGTCTTGTCACTGTATTTAGTATTGTTAAAGTTATCACTAACATTTTCGTAAAAATTTACAAACTCTACATTTTGTTCAATTTCGCAAACCAAATTTTTTTTTTTTTTTTTAAATTTTCATTAATTTTCCCCAGCAAAATTAATGAAAATTTATTGTACTAAGCCATACACTCTAGTAAAACTAACTGTACTTTGTACCCACTTACCTGTTTGCATGTCTCCTCAAAATTTGTTTTCAGTTGGTCTATTTTGGAAGGTATTATGTACAGACGGACTAATAGCAGTCACGTAATTTCATATATATATATATATATATATATATATATATATATATATAATATATATAATAATTTTAAAAAAAATACATTTTCAAATATCAAAACACATACAAAAACAAAGGATGAAATGAAGGTAAGTTATCTTTTTAATGTATATATATTTTTCTCTTGTCTATAGATGACACTTTTTTTTTTTTTTTTTTTTTTTAGTCTTTCAGGTTTGGTCACGAGATAGCAAGTGTTGCCAGTTTCATACTGAATTATTACTGCAGAAGTAATATGATTTTGGTTGGCAGCTCAAAAGAATGTAAGCCAACCATATTTATGTTCAATTGTATGCTTATCATTTTTATCCCAGTTATATTTTGCATGAAAGTTAACCCTAAAAACAGCACAGATATAAAATTTAAAAAAATGAAACTAATTTTACCTCCACATAAATATTACACAGATATACATGCAGGGTATCAGTTACTGACATGAAAATTGGGATTAGCATACAGTTAAAATTCTGGTCAATGTCATTGCATTCTCATTCACACAAATGGGTTACTTAGGAATCCATCTGTCCTCTCCCCATCTATGGATTAAATAAGAGCAAACTAAGATTTGTAGCCTTGGAAAAAAAATGAGGCAAGTTGATTTAGATCAGTGTTTGCCAACATTTTTTCAACCAGTTCCCCCTTTGGGAACAAAGTTTTTTTGTCAAGCACCCCCACCACCATCAAATTAAATTTCAAATATACTGAATACATCTTTCATAGCAAGATAACACTTGGGTATTAGTGCAAAAATAATTTTAATGTTGTTTTCATTTGATTATAAATGCTGATGATTGAAATGCTAAAAAAATCAACTTTTATTTCATAGCTTATCTCGGTGTTTTCAATGCAACGGTTGACTTTGGTGCTGATTGGCTAAGGCTCTTCCTCTAGGTTCCTTGCAGCTTAGAAGTAATCACAGATCTCTTCATTTTGTAATTTGCAGGCAGTTTCTTTATCTAGCAAGAAACTGTAACTGCATTGAAACCACATTCAGCCATTATAAGAAGTTGGAAAAGCAATGAAGAAAGTCTTGATAGCTTCCCACAGATTTAGATACCATTTAGAAATTTCTTTTGTAGCCAATATTGAATAATTTTCACAACTCTGCCCCCCCCTTCCAATAAAATAAAAACTCCCAGTGCCCTTATTCAATATAACAGGAGCCCACAAAGGGACATCATAATCCACATTGGGAAACACTGATTAAGACAAACAGGAATCTTTTTTTTAATGAAAAAATTAACTGGGATTAAAAGATTTTAATTGAATGACAATGATTTCACTTATTGAATGACAATGTATTTCTACTATTGTATTGAATGACAATGTATTTCTACTATTGTATTGAATGACAATGTATTTCTACTATTGTATTGAATGACAATGTATTTCTTCTAAAATAATAAATATTTAAAAATGACAATGTATTTGTTACTATATTGAATGAAATAATTTAAAATGTACTATTGTATTGAAATAAAGACATGGTTATTGTTTGAATGACAAATATCACTTTTTCTGAGTGACAATGTATTGTTCTATTAAATGACAATGTATTTCTACTATTGTATTGAATGACAATGTATTTCTTCTATTGATAATAAATATTTAATGTGGTCTTGTATATTGATAATTGTCAATAGACATGTTTACAAATATCAGTTTCTAGTGTTTGTGTTCTAAATGAACAACTATTTTGCTGTTTGTCTAAAAATAATTAATTTGGTTAATACAACTTGGTTTCTGATGTATTTTTGTCATATTGTCTCCTTGGCGGGAGGGTCATTTAGTTTAGTCTGTACTGCTGAGTATCCAATCAAAACCAGAATGGTGGCACCCATGAGAATTCATCGTCAGCATCTTTTTAATCATTTATTTCAAACAAATGGCAATTTCCTTTTTTATCTCAAAACGGGCCAGCTCAGACAGGCAAGAATGTTATAGCAATACAGCCATAAAAGTGTTAATATCTACTTTTATTTAGATTAATATATGGATTCCTCTAATATTATTGAAATATATTTTAAAATAGAAATCTCTTGGAAATGAACTCCCATTTTAGAAATCATTTCATACTAAAAATATATTACTTCAAACTTTAATTTCTTATGATTATAGATTTGTAAAGTAATAAGTTACTATTTCATAAGTGAAAAATATTTTTTGAAAGTATTTCGGTTACTAAATTTCTTCACAATATTCTGAATTTCAGATGAGTTTCCCTTCAACCGTTAAATAGCCATCATCAATCGGAAAATAAGATTTAGCTTCTGTAAAAAAAGAAAAAAACTCATTTTCATGTCCTGCTTGTATTTTGTGCTTTGAAAATATTTTCCTAAAAAAGTGTACAAATGTGTAAAAGAATATGCTTTAATTTCTTCATAGATTTTTTGTTTACATTTATTTATATCAAATTGTAATTGATGTTAGTCATTAATCCTTCAGATTTTATTTCTCAAGCCTAACAAAAGTAAAAATGCAATTTAGCATGTATTTCATAATTAAAAAATTAAATTAAATTATATATTGTCAAAAAATTTGTAAAGCCTTTTCTCATTATAAAATGTCTTTCTTTTTTTTTTTTTTTTTTTTTTTTTTTTTTTTTTTTTTTTTTTTGCAGCAACCATTGAGGGCAAAGACATTGGTCAAGTGGCTTACATCTCTCGTTCTAACTCTGTACTCTTTAAAAAGGCTGCCTTTGTGTGTTGTGTCCAAAAGCCAAGAGTAAAAGTTTTCTTTATTGGGGTAAGTCAATATTATTTAATGCCCTACTAATCAATAAAATGTACTAATCAATTATAAATCATGTGAACTAATGATTTTACTTGAATCTTTCACTGTTGTATTTGGTAAATGTTAAAAAAATTCTTACTATCCATATTAAAGTTGGAATTAGTGAGACATTTGAAAAACAGGTTTTAAGCACTAACTCTACAATGTTTTATTCTCAACAAAATAAAACATCTTAAATGTTCGGTATTTCTCGTTAAGTAATGGTTAGTAAACTATTCACATATATCATTATTTTTGAGTTTATTTCTTGCTGAGTATAACATACTTGTGGCTATCATGTGACAAATTTTGATGTAAGAATTGATCTGTGGCGACCCCAATAAAAACTGCGATTCACCCTAAAAGATACCAAAATAACATTAGCTTATAGCCTAGTGTATCAGTGTTTGGTGACATAGTAATTGTGACTTCAATCCCTGGACTGAGTAGTACATGCTTAGACTCAATGAGTATCTCTCTTTAGATTAGTAACCAAACTAAGTCTGTCTATTACTGCTGTAGTGAGTCTAAATCTAACTTGATGATTTTTTTACTGTACTAAGCTAAATTAAATGTATGTTTTAAAAAGACAAAGAAAACAACTGGCCTTCCTATACAACAACAAATTGGATCTTACTTTCAGTAGGTGTCTGATCTTTGTGGTAGTGTGTCCGCATTCAAGTGTATGAGACTGGATATCTTAAGAGTAAAGAGAGTATGGCAGAAAAGAATGAGGGAAGCCATTCTGTATTTTTGGAATATCATTTCTATCTTTAATGTTCTTTAAGAGTGTCTTTCTTTCCATTTCCTTGGATGCAGCCATCTCCTAGTAGCGCAGATAGGAATGTTAACATGAAGAAATGAGAATCAAAACCCCCATCTACTTATTTATTATCAAGGAATTAATCTTTTTGTTAGCTCCTGTTATTGGAGATAATAGTACCAGAGTGAAAGTTCTTCAAATAGCCTTAAATTGATCTCTAATGCTAGAGTTCCTAACTGCTAAAAATTGTTTTTACTCCCTCATCAAATTCTAAAGACATTAGAATTTTCGTTGAACTCAGATTCAAGGTTGACAGATTATGCGAGGTTAAAAATATATAATATATTATACTAGCCATTATCGTTGCTTTTCATGGTTCAAGGGAAGTAACTCTTTTATTTTCCTTTTGTATCTAAAATTGCAGTGCACATTTTTTAAAGTAGCTTAAAAGCCACCCTATCAGGCAGCATTTAAGCTAGCTCCTGTGGATGAATCTTGGTTTGGACATCACAATAGCTAGAGAGGAATAGATGCGATAGGCATCAATAAACTACAAAAGAACTCAAAATTGATCGCTGTATTGAATTAATGTTTAAACTAACTTTTAAAAGTTCAATGGTAATTCGTCTGCTGCCACTTATTTTAAAGATGATTTGATATACATAGATCCTTATTTTCTGTACAAACAATTATTTTTATTTCACGGGTGATAGAACGGGACAATTTATAAGATAAAATTAATATAGTGTAAAGAAGGCAAAATAGAAATTAGAATTAGTTATACATTCAACATGTGAAGAGTTAGAAAAATATAATAGCTAATTAAGACTTATAGAATCTATAAGAATAAATACGAAATTGGAGCTCAATTGTCTGATGAATTCTGAGATTAAAAAGCACCAGCTCTACTTTATAATCTAGTATTTATTAGTAGTGGTTTGTAACACAAAAGCTCACTATCTGTATTATATATTATCTACTTCTAGGGAATATCACTCTTCAGGTTTAACTAATTTGCATATTGATTTAAAAAAAAGTTTATTTCATTAATTAACTGTCCTTGTTTACTGTTCTTTTAATCGAGGATTATTTTGATTTTCATATCAAAAATAGTTCTGTTTAGGAATATTGTCTTATATAGCACAGAAAAGTTTGAAATTTGCATTTTACTTGGCCTTCAACAAGTTGGCATCTATTTGTAAAACTTTCCTTAACTATAACAAGCCACTTTATAAATGAAATGTCCATTTTAAAATTTTTGTTTCAAAGATTTCAAGTAGTGAAATATTTTACATTTGTAAAAGTGAACATTAACCCCAAAGTATATATATATATATATAAATATATAGGTTAAATTAATATTCATGCAAACCAATGTATTCAGTTCTGTCAACATTTTTAAATGTTATTCAGTTTCATGAAAATTCAAAAATTTTTAAAAAAAAAAAAAAATCTTTTTTTTTTTTTTTTTTATTTTGTTAAAGTTTCTCTTTCAGGGAATTGAAAGTTTAAATTTGATAATCATGCCAATTTCAAATATTCCGAATGATGTAAAAATTTTATCCAGGGCATGTAATTATTTTGTTTTTTATTTTCTCTTTTACCACAGAAAAATTCAAAATTCATAAAAAAATGAACTTGTAGGTGGAAATTGTATATCTCTACTTAACATTATTCCAAGTTACTTTTTCGTTAAAGCAATAAATCTTTCAGTCTTCACCATTTTTACACTTGACTTCAAAATCTATTTATGATGCAAGATGTTCATGGAAAGCATAAGAAAATCAAAGTTGCTTGAACATAATTTTGAAAATGAATTCAAAGTTGAAAATTAGAAATGTCAGGCGAACTGTGGTTTTTGAATGCGCAGTTTTTTTTTTTTTTGCGGGGGGTGAGAACAAGGCGGACATTTATTGCAAGAATGTTTTCTGTCTGTCTCTCTCATGATGGATGAAAGGTTTGTCTGAAAGTGAAACATGCATTTCTTAAGTGGTCAAAAGAAATTATTTTCATCAAAGTTTGTACATTTTTTAGTATAAAAAAATCCAGTTTATTTCTTCTGGTTGTTTCTGTTGACTACAAGACTGGATCAATAAATCTGTAGCCTGATACAGTTATTAGTTGAATTTTAATGTGAAATGTTCATTCTGTTAATCTGTGATTAATGAAGAAATATTAGGTTAAGTGCAATGACATTGAAGGAGATTATGTTGATAAATATTTATGTAAAATAAATGTTATTTTTCAGTTATTAGACTAACAGACACAAATATTATTTTTTTTTTTTTTTTTTTTAAACAACGGATTAAACAAATGAATTTTAAATTATTCTTATGAGAATTTGATTGAAGTTAATGTAATGCTCCAAGTAATGCTATCTTTTGATGACCTTTTATTTTTTCAATTCTGCTGGTTAACGGTTTTAAAATAAAAAATAAATGGTTGTCCATTTCAAGAACTTTATTTCAAGTCAAAGAATTAAAATTGTAAACAGTTTATTCCAAAAAGTAGATTTAATCAGATGAGAATTTCTTTCCAATTTCCCCATTTTATTTAGAATAATGCTCCTAAATGACCAGAATCTCCATAATATTTGATGCATTTTTTTTTAATAGGCAAGCTGGACAATAATCATTAAAGATTATAAAACTTTGAGACTGATTTGAATTTAAGTTTTTTAAAAATATTTTTCAGGCAAAATTTGTCTATATAATTGACAAGAACCTAGTTCTTGATAATGACTGAGACAGTCAAAAGTACTTGAACGAAACAGAAGAAACATGAATTGCAGGCAGTTTATCAAAGTTTTAGGAGGATATATGTTATTATTTGTAGAATGGAAAATTACAAAAAAAAAAAAGATAGCCGTTTTTTTAATCTTTTGTATATATATATACATATATATATATATATTTTTATTGATTCTATTTACATAGACTTTTTACCCATGATGTTTTATCCTAATGGAAATTCTTTCTATTTATTAATTTAAACTAATAAAACATGTTATATTTGTTATTTTTTTATATATATATAATATATATATATATATATATATATATATATAATAAATTTTGAAAAATAAATTTTTCCAACACTAAAAGTCTGTTTTGCTTAAATGTAATTTCAGGCCTGATTTGCATTGTTTATGCTCGACTCAGATATACTCATCTTTTTGATGCATTAAACCATTAGGCTTATTGTATTAAAGAATCTATAAATGAAACTTTTCAAATCATCCTTTGACAAAAATATTTGATATGATTTAATTGACAATCAGATGCAGTTTTGTGCCTATTTTATAGTGTTGTTTGTTAACTTTTTATTATTTATTATTAATCATTTTAAAGTTGGTTGTTGTTATTATGTTTACTTGTTTGTATGCATTTGTAGGTTCTTAATTTGTTTATTTACTTTATTTATTTATTTATTTATTTATAGGTTTGGATTTTTCTTTTCTTTTTTTTCTTTTTGTTCATTTTTTTTTTGTTTAAAATAACATAAAACATAAGTAAAAATATTTTTTGTGTCTGCATTTTGAGAAGTTGTGAGACTTTTATTTGTAAATCAAATCAGCAACATTTTTGAACATGTGCATTTCATTTCTATGACTAGAGTTATTTAAACTAGGTTTATGTAATTCAGATTAACGTTTCAAATGAGATGCCATGCATAAGTTTTCACTTGTGATTAAATATAAATTAAACACATTCATTTTTTTTGTTTTATTAAAATTTCAGTAAAAATATCTTTCTTATTAATTTAATTGTTTTATTTTCTCAGCATCCTCAAGTCGAGATGATTTTTGAGCAAGTTAATTTAGTTAAAATAACCTCTGTAAAAATATGTGAATTGAAACGATGGATTTATAATTTGCTTAAAAAATTCAAATTTTATGAAACACAATATACATATCCAATTTAAATAACTTTCATGTATGAAAGTTCACTGAAAAAAAAGACATGAAAGATGCAGGTGAGACGTTTATCCTTTCATTGTTATTCTCAACTAGTACTTAGTCTTTTTTATTCTTTCATTTTTATTCTCTCTCTCTCTCTCTTTATTTTTCTGTTTTTTTTTTTTTTTTTGTTTATTTTTTTTTTTTTTGTTTTTTTTTATTTTTTTTTTTTTTTTTTTTTTT